CAATAAAAACTTTCAAATGTGACTGTAGCTTTTTTTCCCCAAAAACCTTTGTCTTCAAAATAAGGTGTGTCTTATACACCGGTGCGTCTTATATTCCGAAAAATATGGTACTCATTATAACGTTGCATCACTCAGACAAAGGATAATTTTCATAGCCTTCAATCTTATATGGTTACAGAAATCATAAAATAGAAAATTAGATCCCTCTTGCCATACCCCACCTGTCACATCCTCCCTTTCAGAAATTGCCAATAGCTTTCTCCATCATTTATTACTATATTATCGATAACCAATAGAAAACCAAGAGTTTAATCTATCAAATGACATTATGATACTACACTGTTTTCTGTAAAGAGAATTAAAAAGTAGGGTTAAGCATCATCAACAGTCAATAGCAAAAAAAAAAGAAGACCCAGGTCAGTACTTTATTTCTTGTTTTCCATGTGTATTCTATAATAGTAGCTGAAATTTAAAAATAATAATAATAACAATTTCCAGAGGTATGCTCACGAGCAGCTTCCAAATAGCCTGTGCATTATGTAATTCAATAGGGTAACGTGAGCTACACATTTACCAAATGATTTATAACTTATATGGTGCAAATATTACTTATACACAGTTCAAAGGGCAATAAAACAATAAAATTTAAGTAGAAACTTACGTATACTGTTATGTGGTTAAAACTATTTAGGATAAACAAATGTAGTTTCATATTACAATCTGAAGTCATTCTAGAAAGAAAAAAGGGTAATTTAGATTTCTTTTGATTTTCTTTGGTGGTTATGGGGTCAGCAAAATGTCCAATCTTGTAAAGTTTGTTTGTTTGTTTGTTTTGAATTTCGTGCAAAACTACACGAGGACTATCTGCGCTAACCATCCCTAATTTAGCAGTGTAAGACTAGAGGGAAGGCAGCTAGTCATCACCACCCACTGCCAAGTCTTGGGCTACTCTTTTACCAACAAATAGTAGGATTGACCATCACATTATTATAATGCCCCCACAGCTGAAAGGGCAAGTATGTTTGGTGGGACAGGAAATCGAACCCACGACCCTCAGATTATGAGTCGAGCACCGTAACCACCTGGCCATGCCGGGCCACCTTGTAAAGAGTTAGGTTAGAAAAAAAAACACAGATAAGATATAGTTTTATTGAAAAAAAAATGTTTGAAACTTATTTAAGAGGTTTTGGAGATTAAGCAAAAAAGATTTGAGATGTTTCAGATGAAGAAAAGTATTTTTATCTTAACATGAAAATCACTTTGTACTTGGGGCAGTCAACACTTTCACTCCATAAATTAATGGAGAAATGTTTAGTGAAAATAGTTCATTAAAAATTCTTATTTTTTCTATACAAATAACTTAATGATTACTGAAACCTTGCAAAATTTCTTGAAGATACACAAAACATATTAGAAGTTATAGTATGGAAACTATAAAGGTCAATCTGAAGTCAGAAACTCGGCCGAATCGACTGAGTCCATAGCTAGAGAGTTAACTTATGTGTTAAAATTTTGAAAAAAATAATTAAAAAAATCACCAATAACCTACAGCTTCTTCTATATTTATAAGGTTACTTAGTGCACAGTATCTGGTACTTAATTCTGGCGAGTTTCCTGTGAGAATTATATTAATACCTTTTATGTAGAGCAATTCAAAAAACATTTCTATAGTAAACAATAAACACATCCACTTACCACAGGAAATCCTATAGTAGCTGATGAATGAACACTTCCATCAAGGACATCTCCAAATTCCCGATCTTCAGGACGCAAAATATGTGGCACAGGCAGGTTGTTCATAAAGTCTGCTAACAAAGTTATTCTTCTATCTGATAGGTTAAGTTTAAGGCTTGGAAGAGTCATCTTTAATTTTTGTCTAAAAGAAAACAGAGTCAACCACAACAGAAGTCACAAAGCTCACTTTCTGTACACTACCTTTGCATACACACATATTTGGTAACTTCCTTTACTTTTTAAATATTGATTTTTCATGTAGACAATTAAAACATTCCTAGACTCAAAACTTTTATACATCCTCTCACCACTATAAGAAATGATCTTAATGTGATATTTTATTTTCAACTGTTTATCACAAATATGCAAATTATTTAAACACAAAATGATCCCTCAGGAGAAAAAAATATAATTCTTTATATTTCTTTAAATGTCTATTCACACTTATTTGATAAATATATTTATGGAAAGTATCAAGGAATGTTGCATACAATAATAATTAGAAAGGTGAAATAAAACCTATCTTGGTTAATTCAAATTCATACTAACTGATAACCATTGAAACAATTTAATGGTAATTTTCCTAAAAATATTGATGAAGAAATAAAAAATGTGCAGTCAACCCAATGCACTGAATCATAGTGTATATGCAATATGATTGTCTTGGTACAATAAAGTCATGCATGTATATAATACCAACATGAAGAACAATATATATATGTACAAATATGTACTCAAACACATTCCTCTCTTCATGCATTTTCTTAGTTCATGCTCCTATCTTCAAAATATTTCTTTCAATCAGCCAAAAGATGAAGTCCCATTTTTTTCCTGAAATTCCCTCACAAAGAGAAACATTCTTGTTTTTTCTCAGATTGACTGTTCAGCACATATCAAGACTGATGGATCAATATTAAATTTTGGGAATTGCAAAAGATTAATAATTTTTCTGTCATGTACTCTTGGAAATGAGTATTTTGATACATAATTTTTGTTTCTACAGTTAACTAGTCAAGAGATACAGTGCATGACTAACAGACACTTGGCTATTACATGTATAGATTGACAAAGTTTGACACTGATAATTGAAACAGCTTCAACACAATAAATATGTTGTTTTTTAAATCCTTATATATTTTATTCTGACACCTGAAACAGCTCCATATAAAATAAATATGATGTTCTGCAAAACTCTTATACATCATATTCTGATACTCTTAACAACATCTATTCATGTAACACATTTCACTGGTGTTTTTCATAATCCTTACATATTTTAACCTGTTTTGTGTAACTCTTGTAAAAAGGATTTGAGTGTTGTGCATTATTTGCTCAAATTTTAAATTTTAGTATCACATTTCTAAACATTATTTAAATTTAGGAGAATGTTTACCGTGGTAACAATCTATAACTAGGCTCAATGCTGTTTGAGAATAATGCCATTATATTCACTTTTGGCATAAGATGAATCTCAGACTCAGGAAGTTGTCTTGCTGTTCTCCACTCATCTCCTTTTAAAACAAAAAATTAAATATCATTTCAGAGAAGGAGTCAGGAAACATGTGTAACATCAAATGTAGCAAGAATGGTTCATATCAACAGTCAAACTGTTTACTATTAATGTTCAACAACATCATATGTAACTAGAAAGGTCCAATAAATGATCAAACTGTTTACTATTAAAGCTAATGTTCAATAACATCACATGTAACTAGAATGATCCACATAACTGGTTAAACTCTTTACTATTAATGTTCAGTAACATCACATGTAACTAGAATGGTGCACATAAATGGTCAGACTCTTTACTATTACTGTTCAGTAACATCACGTGTAACTAGAATGGTCCACATAAATGGTCAAACTCTTTACTATTACTGTTCAGTAACATCACGTGTAACTAGAATGGTCCACATAAATGGTCAAACTCTTTACTATTACTGTTCAGTAACATCACGTGTAACTAGAATGGTCCACATAAATGGTCAAACTCTTTACTATTACTGTTCAGTAACATCACGTGTAACTAGAATGGTGCACATAAATGGTCAGACTCTTTACTATTAATGTTCAGTAACATCATATGTAACTAGAATGGTGCACATAAATGGTCAGACTCTTTACTATTACTGTTCAGTAACATCATGTGTAACTAGAATGGTGCACATAACTGGTCAGACTCTTTACTATTAATGTTCAGTAACCAATAGTAAAGAGTTTGACCATTTATGTGCACCATTCTAGTTACACATGATGTTACTGAACATTAATAGTAAAGAGTCTGACCATTTATGTGCACTATTCTAGTTACATGTGATGTTACTGAACATTAATAGCAAAGAGTCTGACCATTTATGTGCACCATTCTAGTTACATGTGATAATGTTCAATAACATCACATGTAACTAGAATGATCTACAAAAAGTATCAGACAATTTACCTGCTGAAGGTAATGCTTAATCTAAGTAAAATTCATAAAAAGACAACTTCTGCTGAAAAGCAACTGACCATATGCACACAGATTTTGTGCTATAATTCCTCAAACTAACTAGCCTTACAAATCCTTAAAATTACTCTTATTATAAAATATTTTGAAAATAAATTTTGTAGCATTGATAATGCTAAACTAGTAATTATTCAAAATAATATATGAAATACAAAGTAAAAGGGGGTAATATGAACCATCAAACTAATTCTACATATTTAGAACCTACAACGTAGTAAAATCTACCCACCTGAATCAGTAAACAAAACTTGAATGTCTGAAAATGTAACATCAAATATATCATATAGCCTCTGATCTATTTCCATTTTGGTATCTTCCTAAAAGAAAAAAATTAATTATATAAAAAGACATAACAGAAATCTATTTAGAAAAAACAATTATAATTTCCATATCCTAATTCTCCTCTAACTAGTCCTTTTTTATTGTAACAAAACACAAATAAATTGAGTGGAAGCATAAAAAACAAAGTAAGAGATATTCATAAGTTAGCCTGTTTTATTCAACAGTAAAATCAGGTTCAATAGCATTCTCAATTCATCAAATGCCAAAATGGTGTTAGATTGACAATCAAATTACTATGGAAATAATTCTTCCTCTTGATAAAGCACTTTTAAATATATGAAATGTCTGGCCAATCAGCCAAACATTAAAATGAAAAAACAGCAGAAATTTATTTATCCTGCTCCAAGAAGTTTTTATACATTGAATGACTAATTTACTTAGAACCTCCATGCACACTTATAGCACATTTTATTTACCTGCACAGTTAAAATACACTGATCATATGATGTTGCAGGTGATTGATTAAGCCCTATAAATGCACACATCTAATTCTATTATGCTTAGTCTACATCACATTGGTAAAGCCAATACCTTTTCAATTCTTGAAGGCCATATTAGAGATTTGCCCATTAAGTAAATGTTGTTGTAAAACATAAAACATTCTTATCTACCAACACTGTTGATCAAAAGGAAATGTCTACCATTAGGAAAAACTAACTGACAAATGCTGGTTATTGAAAGAAAACATTTACTGAGCAAGCTTGTAAGGTTTAAAAGAGATCAAACTGTGTTCTAATTAAACAATTCTTTTAACAATGATCAGAGTTTATGTACATTGCACAAATTGTGACATGAAAGCTCACAACAAACCTGAAAATCTCTTAATTCAGACATAAATGGGAAAAAAAAAAGGTTAATATTTGAGCACAAACTACAGAAAATGAATGATTGGAAGTATGTGATGTGGAATGATGTGTTCCACTTCTTTCTATGTACATGGCAGACTAGAAATTTGGAAGAAATGATATGATATGCAGGCATATATATATATAATGTATTTTCCCACCATCTTTAGTAAAGTAGGAATTTTTCTTTGCAGTTCTAGCATAAATACATGGTCCAAAAGCCATTGAAATTGTTTCATTCTATTTGCCTTTTTCTTTACTGTCCTTAATAACAAATAATATCTATTTTGCTTTCAGAGATTTTGCATGTTAGTATATAAAATGTTGTTCTCAATGGTGGACGATATTTACTTTGCCCCTAGGGATATTGTTGCAATTTTACAAATTAGTGTGGATCGGAGTCAACCACAAGTAATATCCTTTCACTGGCCACGTAGGTGATGTCTTTATGTTCCAGCCAAGAATGCTGTGAGAGAATAACCAGTCTCGAGAGAAAGAAGGCTGCTGACCCATTCACTATTATGTAATAGATACAGATTGTTTTCATTTTAGATCACATGTTATCTGTTTATTTCTAACACAGCTTGAAATTCAATCAGTTTTCAAATTTAGATTACTTAATAACTTTCCTGTTTGATCCTCCATTATTAAACAGACCTATGTGATACTTGGGTGGAGATCAGCTTATTTGAGAATATCACACAATCACATACCACACTTGTCTGTTTGTGTTTTTCACTAATACAAGTTGCTAAAAGTGGTAGAATGTTGTAAGAATATTATTTTTACACTCTTTTGAATTACCACTTTAACAGTAGTAGTTAAATTGGGATATTAAAAGAGATGAAACTCCCTTTTGTGATCCACTTTGGCATTTTAATCAAAACACCAAGAATGCTAATGGCTTTAAATCTCAAGAAGTGGAACTCTTCTCTGGACCTTTTTGCCCTAGCTTAACCCCTGTTTAACAAACAACGATTTTTCTTAAACAATGATGGAATGACTGACTTTACTTAATTGCTGTAGATTGGTTAGAAAGGCATAACAGCAAATTCACTTAAGAGAAAGTTTTACATCACATTCACCATTGTAATCCTCAACTAACATCTTTGAACAAATTAAAAACCATATTTGTTACAGTGTGACACCTTTTTTAAGCTGATGAAGCATGAATATAAGTACTATTTATATCCAAGCTGGCTTAATGAACTTCATATTGAATGAAATGTGTTATTGTCAACTTTAAACAAACTTATTAAATAGAATCTAATTTTGGCTTAAAGATTCTTAAAGTTTTTTTTAGTTTTCTATCATTTTTTACATTATGAAACCTTCAAAATCTGTTATAAGACAATTTTCTGAAAAACATTATAAAATTCTTTTGTTTTAGAATTAACTTTTTTCAATGTTGATCACAGAGTTCTATTATATATTTACAATCAGTTTCAACTTCATTGATATTAATTACATCTTTCTATTAATACTTTATTTTGCCAATCACAACAGTCACCACTTTCAGCTATAAATAAAAATATCCAAAAGCTTTGCCTCTAGTTCTTAAGGTTAAGCTTCATTAATAGCTGTTAAAACCCCAAAAGGTGGCAACAGAGGCTATAATAATAAAACATCAGACAGAGAAGGAAATTCACAAGAGAAACAAGAATTTAATAATTGTATTCTCAAGTGAAAATAGTTTCTTAGTAAATAAAAACTTATTTTTGTGATGGTGAAAAAAAAATTATAATAAAAAAAATCAATAAGTGTGTTGTTTACATGCAAGATTCCTCAAAACTGTGCAAAAATGTAAGTTTGAACTTTATTTCCATTTCCTTTTCAAATTACACTAAATAATTGTTACAAAATGTCAAAGTATTAATTCTCAAACACTTTTCAGTTAAAAATTGTTGAAATAGAGTAAGAATTATCATTTTACTTATATTGTAAAATTTGATATGCAGGTGTGCAAGTGACACCTGAAAGGTATTTACTGGCTAGGAAACGGTTAATTCACTTTTATTAATCAGGCTTCGAAACTCCACAATATAATACATCTATTTTGGTAATCTGACCAAAAACCTCAATATAGTAAGAAATTATAATAAATGTGAGCAAGTTGAAAACTCTAATTGTACTTTACAGTAAAATTATTATCTTAAAAACATTAACTGTTGTTTTGACAACAAAACAGAACAGAAAATTAGAGGTTAAAAATAATATTAATATGTTATTATATCTACAAAAATCATTATCACATAACATTGGTTGCTGAAAAAGTTTGAAAAATAATTTTCTAGAAGCATGTAGTTTCATGTATAGATAAAATGATTCATTAACTGTTTTGTGGAAATTTCTGTCGTACTTTGAAAGGCCAAGTTCTTACCAATTCTTATCATCACTCACATACATCAAGTTGGCAAATAACATATACACACAGTCGAATAGAGAGATATCACTAACAGTTCAGGTCCAGTGCTTAGCATTACATTTTGGTTCATAACCAAACATACCTTTTCTAAGTCTATACCCACCAATGCATAAACCAATCATTTCATAGTTTTATGGGCTATTGATTATAACTTTCTGCACAGAAGAAGGCCTAGTAACTATAAGAAAGATGCTGGGTGACATACAGAAGTTGCTGGAATTAGTTTGAAGTGTAGATACAGTGTGACTGTTTTTACAGTACTCGCAAGAGACCTTAGTAATTTCAAAATTTTTAAATCTCCATACCCATGTTTTATCCAGTACATTTCTATTAATTTTAACAGATGATCCTGTAGTAGCAGTAATAGTAGTGATTACTGCATTTTATCAAGATAAATTTAAATAAAATTAAATACATTAGATTTGAATAAAAGTAAAGAATGAAAATAAATCTAGCTTGAAGATAAACAAAAAAAGAATATGCATAATCAACAGAAACACTAAAATGATAATAGCACTTTTACAGTAAGTTTTGGTTCTCTCAGATCAAAGACAAGCCCCTCCTCAAAGGTTGAAGTAAACCTGTTAAAGAATGTCAAACCTGCATTCATAAACCACAGTGGAAGTATCTCTGTTGCATGAGATAGTCACAAAATAATCTTCTATACACAAAGTAAAGCAGTATGCAACTATCTCATGACAAAGTAGATAATGAGTCCTTAACTAAACAGACTACAGAAAGTAACATCTAAACTAAATTTAGCACAGGACTCTCAATCAGATTCTGAAAGTTCCAAACCAGAACTTAAATATATTTATAACTATTACATACACACAAAATATAGACTAAAAAAGAATGATGCAGTACTTTCATGGTATACTGCTTGAAAGGACACATCAAAACCTGTAATTTTGTTTTTCAATAAGTATGTTTGCAATTAGCCTAAATTTTGAAATGGGGTTTAGTTTTCTACCCAGAAGTGACAAAAACTTCCCTGTCACCTGTCAAAAATAGGATCTAATTGTAAAAACACATAGCATTAAATAAAAAAACTACTTGAAAATGTATAAAAAATTATTCTTCCATTTATTTATAAAAATTAAATATTCTGGTCGATTCCATCTGAAAGCATCTAACAGAAGTGCCTGTGAAGATGTGAGAAAGAGCTAACCAGCTTGGTTCCAAGGATATTAAATATCACAGCAGTAGTGTAAAAAACTATGCAGCCATTCACTTCAGATTAAACCTTAAAGGGAAACTCAATGTTTGATTGAGGGTATCATTCTTGACACCCCAAGACCAAAATTACTGTTTAAAATTACCACTATGTGTAACATGGTATTTACCTGATGGTGCCTCATCAATTATGGCAAATAACAGGCAAATTGTTATTATTTGAACATTATAAATTTGGTATTGACAAATTCATGAACTGATCCAATTTATACTATTATAAGCTATACATTTAATATTTTAATTTAGAGGTTTGTTTGATAACCCAAGAACTAAATTTCATGAAAGTTACGGCCACTATGGAATCTAGAAGCTTCCTATACCAGGCAGAAATAAGAGTACAATATAAATACCAGAGTATGTCAATTATTGAATAAATATATTTTTAATTTAAAGAGAAGAATAATGATCATCAAACAAGTAGAGAAACAAGTTGAATTAAAATGCAAAGGCTAAAAAAGCAAATAAACTAGGGTGGAAACAGTGTCTACATTATTTTCTTAAGTTATAAATCCCTATTTTAACTCCATGTCTACAGTGCTTATCAATTTTAGTGGAGTCAAACTAGGGAATTGTAGCTTGAAAAATTAGTGTAGACACTATTTCCAGCCTAGTTTGTTTACTTTTTTTAGAGTCCCTAGTTGTAGGCTTGAACATATTATCTTTGCATTTTGATTCAACTTGTTTCTGTACTATTTTCATGATCCCTATTCCCCTTTTTAAATTCACAATTTTTAATTATCTTGTTTCTTAAGTTTTATTACATCCACTTACAGAGAATAAATTTTAAGCTACATATGTGCATATGCATTTAATTAAATGTCATATGTTTTTAACAGTTTATTGCCACACTGTCTTTTTTTCCCCACCCAACCATTATTTACTGAGTCAGGTGGTTTTGTGGCTGAGGTTTCGTGTAAACATGTTTAACAAGCATCGAGTACAAGAAAGCTGCTAACAATAACATCCCATATATTATGTACTTATAGTCACATAAATCAATTTTTTAATTAGGTTATGGACATTCACAGCATTTCATACAGCATATCTGTCTAAGTTTTGGTGCAAAATACCCAGCCAATTTTGCTGTGGGCTTGTGAAACAAAAATATCACTAATAATAAAATATGCACTCAAAATTTCAGCGAAGTATGAAAATCAGTAGAATAAATCACCACTTACAATAGTAGAGAAACAAATCTACTATGATGATCATCTACTGCTACAAAACTCATTGAAATAGTCACAGAAAACCATATACAGATAAAGTACAACAGCAAACTCAAAAATAAGGCTGGAGACACTGTTACAGGGGTGAAATTCTCAAAAAAAAAAGAAGAGGTATTCAGTTGGGTGAAGTAGACATAAAAAAATAATAAAGCGGCTCCAATAAGTCCTGATACTAGTACTACCTTAAAAAATAAGTTCTGGTACTCAGTACCAGTGAGTACTGGCAAAATTTCACCACTGCACTGTTATAAATACACACATTGTTTACTCTAATAAAATGTAGCGTTTCCAACAAGTATAAAACGGAAAATTTCAGACTAGTATAATTGTGCTTAAATGTTTTCTACATTTTTACAATGCTTGAAAAGCTTTAAAGAGCTTATGTTGATAGCAAAGAAGAACTTAGAGGGTGGAAGAATCAAGAATCAACTTAAAAATTGCCCTACAACTTTTGCAGGATTGTTTGGTAGCTGTGCATATATTTTGGCATAGTATATCTAGCCATTTTTGCTGTAGGCTTTGGTACTTGAATGGATTCAAAGAGAAACTTGGCCACTAGAGATGAAAAACCTGAAAACCTTTACTTCTCATTCAAAGATCAACATACAAATAGTCTATGACCTGTGCAGATGTTTCTTTAGTAGGTTTGCCCAAATTCAAAATATTCATAGTCATTTGTTTTTTGTAGGCTTATCAAACAAGAATAATATGAATAATAATAATATGATAAACAAATGGATAAATTTTGAATTTTGTCTAACAATCAGAAAATCAACTTTTTTACTATGATCAATATTTTAGCAGCCTAAGCCATTGAGATAGACGGTCTTGAGTGTTGTTTCAAGAACAAGTCTGCTTTTTAAAATGGTTTTTATCTTTATTTTCTATTAGAATTTTGGTGAAGTTCCTAGGCAAACCCTATTATGAACCACTATCGTAGTTCATGATAAACAATTTTTCATAATAAACTCACATATATTTCACATAAAACAAAAATGCTTTTAAAACAGTCTTAGAATCTTCTCTCAACCAACCAAACTGGAATATTGTTACCATTGTTAAAATTACTATCAATTTAGCCCTCTTGTTAACAAAATCATGCACAAGCAGGAACTTTCAAGAATGAGACTTACTAACTTAGCCTCACTAGAGAAATGTATAGCTACAGTCATAATTATTCTCCCTATGCCAAATGTTACCTCCATCAACCTTTGGTAAATTGGATATTAGTTTGCTGTTAATGTTTGTTTTATGCACAGTCACTATTAAATTTTAACTCTGATCTAATTAGTGACTGATCAATGTAGTGATTAAGTTCACAGTTTATATGTACAGGAGTACCAGTAACATGTACACTTCTTTGATTACGTTTATGGAGTTTTCTTTATTAAGTATTTACAATTCAAGCTATGAATAGCATGACTTAACTGTGCCACTCACTTCATCTTAGTTTTGTGAATCATAGTTCTGGAAAACAAATCCATTAAAAAAAATATTTAAATAAATTTTCACTTTAAAATAACTTTCTATTGTGCTTCTGAGACATCAGTACACAAATGGAACAGCTGTGCTCACCCAAAAAGGCATATTCATTCCACTGATAGTTAAGTTACCTTTTTGCTTTAAAAACATTTTTAATATTTCAGTATATGGCCTTATAACTGTTAAATTATATAAGCAGGGAAAAGGAGAGAGCCACAAGTATGAAAACAAGGGAAAAAAGGGGGGTTGTGATAAGTAAAAATTTGGAAACTCTAGCTTACCACATTTGAAAGTCTGTCTTGCTGTAATTCACTTTTAACAGTCAGTCTTCCCATGTCTAAAACAAGCACACTCCCTCCTCTAGGGAATGGACAAAAAGTAATATCCACATCAATACTATGTAATGAAGAACTGTTTGTACATTTGAAACATGAATATATATAAACATGTTCATGAGCATTGATAATGTTTACAATTTGAACACAGACACTGACTCTCATATAACTATTATACAAACATCACACTGACTACAGAATGGCTAGCTTCTCTGTTAAGAAACCTATTACATTTCTTTGTTAGATGAAAAGGAGATAGAAATTGTTTTATCTATCATGGAAAAGTTTATATAATTACATCACAATAGAACCAAAATAAACAAGTCTTGAAAAACTACTGAATACAATTAATAGAACTTAATAATATATATCTGCATCATAAAAGCTACTTACCTCTGTAATGATCCATGTTGAGGGATAACGAGGTATGGTGACTTCAAGTCAAGATTCACATCAATTGTCTGACAAAAAAAAAACATCCCCGTGTATATCTGATCCTTAATTATTCCCCCAAAAAGAAATTACAATATTTATAATATTTACATGGTAATAATTATCAAACATAAAAAATTTTAACTTCAAACCTGAATAAAAGTCTGCTATATTGTAAACATTGTGGCTAACATCTCAATATACTTGAATGGATAAACCAATATCTAAAGTACTTAAAGGGTTAGTTTCATTTACATGTAGATCATTATTCTAGTTCATTCTATTTAACAATATAGATAGAAAAAAAAGGAACTTTATTTTCCAGATAATAATAAACATACTATTTCTGCCAATGTTTTGCTATTGTGGCTTCACCAGGGCTAGTAATACAAAGACTTTTTAATGTGAAAATACACAATAATTTATTGAAGTGCTTTTGGTGTTATACTGCTTAAAACATTTATAATATGCTTTAAAAATGTTTAAAATATTACTGTTGTTTCCCAATTGTACTATTATTATGATATATGTATGATACTATATATTACTATACTATCATTTGAGACATATATATATATATATATAATACTTATATGGAATATAAAATTAAAAACAGTTTTTGAAATGTTTCATGTTTTTGGCACAAAATAAATACAAATGTAGGTTGTCTTGGTTGGATCTCTGTTTACAATTACATAAGTAAACGTGTACTGAAAATATTTCATAGTCACAGTTACAAAGGTAAAAATAGAAGAACATCTAATTATGTAGTTATAAACAAATATCCAACCAAGACAATCAAAAAACAAAGCCAAAAAATGATAATGAAACATTTAAAAGAGGAAAGTATCTTGTCAAAAAAATATAAACAGACTTCAAATTCTCCTACAGCTGTATACCTGAACTGTATGGAGTCCCCAAATACCATAAACAAGATTTACCTTCAATACTCATAGTGTTAGCATATGACTTTGCAACAGAAAGGATATCCTGGTTACTGAATCAGTTATTGAAACTATGTTTAAAGTATGTTCCATCACACATAAACAATATGGGCTAGGCTGAATTGGCAGAGTTCATGACCCCAAACTGACCCTTACAGTTTCCATACTATAACTACTAATATTTTTTATGTATCTTCACAAAATTCTGCAAGGGGTGGTAAATAAAGAATAGACAGGAAAAACAGGAAATGATGTACTTACCTGGGTTTTCTTTCTTTTTGCTGTTGATGACAATTAACCTCATTATTTTATTTTAATACTAATGGTACTACTGCACTAAATAATTTGTTATTTAATTAAATAATGCTCCAAAGATAACAGAATAATAACATAAAAAAATAAACAATGTCCTATAATTAGCACAATTTTTTCTGATTTTCAAGCTATGCAACAAGAGCTATAAAAATTCAGCTAAGCTCATCAACGTGCTTCTCATGGAAATAAAGCTTGAACTGGAAGCGAAGTAGGCAATTCTCTGTATAAAAAAAACAACATAATATAACATATCATTTGATATATTAAATCCTTGGCTTTCTATTGGTTATAAATGATACAGTATCAAATGTAAGAGAAAACTACTGGCAATTTGAGAAAAAGATAATGTGACAGGTGGGCATAGCATGAGGTGTCTGATTTTCTAACTTATGGCTCTGTAACCAAATCAGGTTGAAAACTGAAAAAATAATGCTTTTCCTGGATTATGACAACATTATAATGAGTAATTTACACTACATTTTGTACTTCTCAGAGAGGTGGTAAATAAATTACAGAAGAGAGGATACCTAGAGAACAAATATCACAATTCTCGTACTAGAGAAAATAGACAATTTTTTAAATATTCCTTTATAAAATTAGGAACTTAAAACTTATATAACATTAAGATTTGGATTATTACCTACATTTGGATGCCAAGTTTATTCACATACCATGATGATAAAGTAACTTATTTAAATTTTGAATATAAATCACTAAAACCTCATGACATGTGTAGAAAATAATGCCTGTAGTCAAAATGATAAATAAAATACAATAGCTGCACCCATTAGGTCTTCTTCCCTCTTGGTTGGTTGGTTGGTGTTTTATGGCGCAAAGCAGCTAGGCTATCTGCACCAAACAACCGGTAAATGCAATGAAAGCAAATTAAAGTCTAGCGTCAGGGGTAAACTTTTAGAAAAAATGTGTCTAAAATGGTGCCGTCACTCACAGTCGTAACGATGGCACGACAGTAAAATGTGAGCTACTGTGACTTGAGTCTCAAATGGGTACACATCGGTGGGTCAATACCTGATAAAAGAAAACGATGGGTTAAAAAACTATGACCAATGCGTAGCCTTGCCAGGACTACTTCCTCCTTCCAATCCTTATTGAAGCAAGACGGCCAAAGACCAACAGATGGTTTGATCTGGAAAAGCTTATTATGGCGTTGATCACTCCAAGTCGACTGCCAACTGGCGCGAAGCCGCGCCTTGAAGACAGGCACGGCCGTGATGGCACCAGAGCAGACGGACTTAGCTGCGGTGTCAGCGAGCTCGTTCCCGTGAATACCGACATGGCCAGGGATCCAGAAAAACTGGATGGAAATAGAAGATAGCGAAAAGTGGGCCAATCAGTGTTGAATATCAATGAGAACAGGGTGAGAGCTAACGTTAAGCAATTCCAGGGCCAGTAGAGAGCTAAGAGAATCAGTGTAAATAGTACAATTACTGTACTGCATAGCTTTTACATGATCCAGGGCAAGAGAAATAGCATATAACTCGGCAGTGAACACAGAAACTGTAGAGGGGATCCTGCGAGCAACTACCGAGCCACAGCAAACCATGGCAGAGCCTACAGAGTCACCTGATTTTGAACCATCCGTGTAAATGGGAAGAGAGGAATGGTTTTAAGATGTTCAGCAAAAAGAAGATAGTACTTCCAATCGGGAGTATCCGCCTTCCCCAGATGACTCAAGGAAAAGTCACAGGATGGGATGGTAATAAGCCATGGTGGAATGAGCTGATCATTGGGGACAGCAATGTCATCCAATGCCAGACCCTGGCTGAATTTATATAACAAGGGGCTTTTTTGTTTGTTTTTGGTAGGTATTTAGTTTAAAGTTATTTGGCACCACACTGAAAAATTATAGGGGATGTTCAGAAATGTCAGTTTCTTTTCATTCCACTAGTGAACTTATTATATTCTACATAAGTGTGAGTGAGGCTTGGGCTGACTGAAATTTATAAATATAAATATATACATTAAGGTGCTGAGAAGATATGTGGACTGATTTGATTTTTTTTTTTTTATGGTGTTAAGGACTGAAGGTTGTGGATTGAAATAAATTAGAGGTTAAATATCTAGCCATTCTTGGGGGTGGGGATCAGTTGTTATCCAATGCCATTATTTAGATGTGGTGGTTGGGGACCAGACTAACTGAATAAAACCCACTTTCCTCAGGGCTGAATTACCTTTATATGGGAATGAAAGCCAATATAGTTAACATTGATTCATCTGACACACTGGGGTGCATTATGTAAATTAATTTTAAATCTAGTTAAACTAAGTTATTTTTTTTTATAATACAAATAGAAATAATGATATTTTCTGTTTCATACACCACATTCAAATAGGAAAGTATATATTTTTTGAATGTAGTTTTTAATGCAAATTTCAGAAATATAAATTAATTTGGAGAAATGAAAATAAATTTTATATCTTGCTAGGTTAGTTCAGTTTGTGGGGTTAGTGCAATTTATACTAATTAGTAAATAATTACATGTTTATTTAAATAAAAACAAATTTCATTAGAAATATTCATAAAAAATGAAAATATTTTCCCCGTTTCTTCTACTTTAAAATCTATCCTAATTTTATTTCATATTTCTGAAATCTACAGGAAATTTAAAGTACTTAGAATGTGGATAAGAGATTAACAAATTCTTTTGATATTGTAGGCATGAAAATGATATCTTCAAGCAAATATTTAAGAATATTTCTAGATTTTCACATTGAATTTGTCACCAGATACTTTGTTTTGTCTTGATGTTTTGCAATTCTTTTAAATACATAGTTATATGTAATTCTAAAAGTACTTTCTTTGTTTTGTAAACAAAATAAAAGGTTTGCCATATAACATAAGATAACTTTAACAGCTTAATTTACAAAATTTGCATCTTGGTCTTTATTTCTGGATATTTTCTGTTTCATACACCTTGTTCAAATACAAAATAATACATATTTTTGAATGGAGTTTTTAGTGCTTATTTGAGAAATACAGATTGGAATTTGGATAAATGGAAATAAGTGGTTAAAAAAGAGGTGAATGCTAAATTTTTGGGTAAATTGATAAAATAAATTGATAAAAATTTTGCTTTGAAAAATCATATAAAAGATTTAAAAATGTAAAACCAGAATTAATTTTAATTTACTAAATAAATTAATAAAATATGAAAGATTTAAAAAATACTATATAATAGAGTAATGTAAATAGCCTACAAAGTTGGAAGGTTATACAAAATAGATGTTTCACTTTCAGGTTGGCAACTACTTGAACTAAGCTATATATTCTATATATATTACTAAAATTTGTATCTAGAAAGGATAAACTGAGTTAATCAAAAAAGGACTTGTATTGCTGAAGTTTCTCGGAGAGAATTTATACCAGAAATTAATAAACAAACATTAATGTAACACACACACACACATCCAACAGGAGAAAGTCTTTAAAGTGAGTTTATGTGCAATAACGTTTCCTCCCCCCTCCCCCAATTGTAAAATAATTTGATTTCAATTTATTTTAGATCTTAATTACTTAATTTTTTTCTTCATGTTTTAAGAATTGTATTTGAATTTCACCGGCACTAACTGCCAACTAATAAAATAAAAATTCAGATTTTATTGTAAACTTCTTACATACTAAGTGTACGAAAGTTTACAAAATTTATTACTTCTTAGAAATAGTAGGGGTTTGTTGAGAAGAGAAAAAGCTTAGAAAACACGGTCTTAGATGTTTAAACTCACAATGTGTTAAGTTTCAACTACCATCC